GTCCTGGACTGACATCTGTTGCAAGTACAATCATGTCCCGTATCCCCACCACACTGGCATCTGTTGAGGTTTCTGTATTCCCACCTGGTTTCTTGACATACATCCTACACTGCTCTTTGTTATAATTTACTCTCATCATGACCACAGATCCCTTCAACATCTGTCTGTTTCCTCTCTCTCAGACAAGTGTCTTGTTATCAGAGGCAAAAGAAAATCCTGCTGCTTTCTCTTGTTAACCCGGGGACCACAGGAGACTTGCTGTGACTGCCTGTGTCTTCTCCTTTTCTAGCATCTAGTCTTCTCCCTCTTAACTCCCATTTCCACCGGGTTACTAGGGAATCCTAAAAAATATTTTGTTCCAGAAAAGCTTAAGAGAAAATGCTTCCTCTATTCTTGGACCTTCAAACTGTTTAGTACTCTCTGTAAATAATCTTTTGTACTTTTTACTGATTTAAGAGCAGAAGAGACAGTCATAAAACCTCCCCCTAGGTCTAAAGCAGGATCTAAATGATTCTCTCCAACACACTGTTCAACCTTCTTCTGTACTAAAGGGAACCATTTTTCTTTTTATTCTAATAAGGGGGAAGAGGGATTTAATGGTTGCATTCTTCCAACTTGCTGTCTACTACATCGGTAAGATAGCTTTCATTAAAATGAAACCCAATGATTTAGCATCTCTGCTTTTAGGTTTTTATTTTCACTTCATCTCAGCTGGGTGGGCTGGGGAAAAAAGGACCACATGTTAAAGGTCAAGATATTTGATGAAGATTAGAGAGAGAGAGAGACTTAACATTCCTATGGTATGGCAGAATGGGTAATCTGCCTATTTCTTTGGCTTGGGGAAAATATTATTAATGCTGAAGAGATGAACATATTTGAATGCATTGATGAGCTGAATAGAAAGTAAGAAATACTCTGAAGTGAAATTAAATGAAAGGAGAAAAGTGATAAGTAGAATGCTAGCTTCCACTCTGAAAGCAATTGAAAATTCTAGTGAACTTGGCTTTTAGTTTTCATAGATTCACAAAGCATAGAAAACAGAGATGTAAGTCCAGTAGTTGCTTAAATTAGGAAGGCTGAAAGAATATAACCCGTCATAAAGCTGGGTCCACCAAATTGGCCAGTCCCTCGATATGAGTATAAAATAGATACAAATGTACATTTGTGGAAGGTTTTATAAGAAGATATTACTGTCTTGAATTGCATTGTTGAATAATAAGGAAAAATAATCCTTCTAGCTAAAAACAACCATAATATTTGATTGTGGCCTGAATTTACCTTACTTAATATGATGTGAAAACTTGAGAACAATACCATAGATACCACAGTCTAATGTGGTCCTAGGTTGGTATAACTCCCAGTCCTCTGGCAGAAACAAATACAAATTTTATCTGGAAGAACTTGTCTTCCGTCTAAGCCACACATATCTCACAAGTAAAATTTTAAGAAACATAAATTTATAGTAAAAAATCACAAATCATCCAGTGAAATAAGGCACCACAAGCTAGAGTCTCCAGAAATTAGAAACCGAATATTAAAACTAAATACATAAAATAAGTATGCTTTATGTGTTGCATAAGTGAAGTACTGAGAAAAATAAATCAGCAAGAAAATGTTAAAAAGACCAAGAAGATTTAACAAAGTCTCAAGAGAATGGTTTGATATTGAAAGTATTGTTTTAGGTCAGAGTCCCTGGAAACATACTCTGAGATACGCATTTCCATGCAGGAAGTTTATTTGGGTGTGTTCTTGTGAGGGTAGGGGAGGCTTTTGCAGGGCAATTAAAAAAAAAAAGCCTGAGTGAATGATGCAGTTGCAGCACGAGCCTTAACTGATCTTAGAAACACTGGAACTAATCATTCCTAAAACTACTGCTTCAAAGCAGACATTTTTTTGGTGTTTCTGTCTATTATACAGAACAGCAGCCATCCCACAGACTGAATATAATGGCATAATAAGGGGAAAATGAGATCATAAGCATGAAAATTCTTTAAGAACTCTAAAAGTTCTATGCAAATGGGTTATCATGACCACATACCCAGAAATCAGAAGTACAGCCACTGGAGTCAGATAATCTCAGTTCACTTCTGACTCTGACACTCACTAAATAGTGAAACAAAAGCAAATTACTAAATCTCTCTGTGCCTCAGTTTTCTCGTATCTAGAGTGAAATGAATAAAAATCACTTTGTAGGACTGCTGTGGAGGACTAAATAAGATGAACTGATCTGGAGAATAAGTATTATTGTAACAACAACTTATTAAATATTATCTGATATAATAAAAGGATTTTTGAAAAGGAAGAGGAGGCTCATAATCCCAATCCTGCCTCACTTTTCCCATACTTACTTTGATGTGCTATTTAACCCCTTGTCCCTGAGACATTTTCTGACCATGGCACATGCAGAGCCTAATTTCTATGCTGAAAGCACAGTAATATTTTACTGAAGTTTACTTTTACTGGAATATATGTATTCTGCAGAAGCATGAGGTCCTGGACTTTTTCTCTGACTCTTTATCTACATTTACAGGAGAATAAAAATGCCCATTGTACCTTCGTTGTAGCAACATATCACATGTTTGTATGGTGGTACTATTCTTTAAACTAAGCATTTTAGGATATATTTAGGCTGATTCCTTTTATTTTACTACATTTTCAAAACAAGTGTAGATTACTGCATTGAGATTTTTATTGGCAGAAGCATTTACTGGTAATCAAATAACATTGGAAAACATGTTTTTAATCTATGCTCCAAAAAGGCTATATATGAATTTCTTCTTGTGTTTGTTTGTTTTCCTACCTTTAGAACAAGCCAAGGTGCAACTGTTTCATTAAGTAAAGTCCCTTTATCCTGGCCCTTTGAAAAGAGCACAATTACTGCTGATTTTTATGGTCAAAATTTTCAGCCTGTCTGTTACTGCAAGATGGGGAAAAAGGCCTCGGTTCTTTGTCTTACCCAAGAGAAAAGAATTCAGATGGGAGAGTGAAAGTGTCATATAAACGAAGTTTTATTAGACCAAAAGTTAGTAAAGTATATTCAGCTGCAGTTGGGATAAATCTTGTATGGAATCTCATCCACAGATGGATTCCATTACAGAAATAAACAAGTACTTTGTTTCATTCTGTATGTTTGACCAGATTTATCCTGTTTTTCCAAGAAAATCTGGTGCAACTTGGCTCCTACAGTAAACTGTCAAACTGTGGAAAAATCCACACTGTACTGTCAATTTGCAATGCTTATGATTCAAAGGATATTTGTGGCAATTGTGATTTATTTTTCAATCACCTAAGATTTAACAAAGAAACTATACCATGATTAATCTCAAAAAAAATTTAAGAGGTAATTCGTTTTTACAAATTTTGGTTGAACAGCAAAAGCATGTCATTTCTAAAGGTGTTATTAGGAGCAACAATAGCACAGCAGCTATTAAAGTGTGTACAGAGTGAATATTTCAAATTACAAAGGAAAAAAGGTAATACCTGAGGAAAAACTAACACAGAAGCTCTACTGACATTTTGGGAGATGAGTTCCTAGATGTTAAATAGATGGAAGTGGTGTATAACATCTTTTCAGGGCTTTTATCTTGAAATTAAGCTACTCTTCAAATGCATGTCATCCTATTCAGTCCTTTTAACACAGGATAGTTTTAATACAGATTTTGTTTATCTCAATAATTAACTTGACAAAAATTAATTACTTGAAATAAAAATTGAACAGTGTTATAATAATGCCAGTGTTTCAAATGCTATCTCGGTTTTGGGAAATGACTTCTTACAGTTCTCAGCATCAATTTAGGAAAATATGTTAGAATTAAACTCCTAATACTCACTTTTCAACTGTATTCTATTCAAAGTCAAACCTGTAGATCTGCCTTCTGCTAAGTAAGTTTTTTACTTCCTTTTTTACATAATTTCATTTTCTTAGTGATAGATAGCCTCTATGATTGCAAATTGCATCTGACATAAATTATGAAGATTTTTTTCCCTTGTTTTCCTGTAAAACCAAGTTAGTCTTGTTTTAACTAAAGAAACTAATTTAATCATCAACAATTCGTTTTAAGTGCAGGATTATTCTATGACCAAAAAATCCACTTATAAGTTAATCATTCTTACTCTTTTATTGCAAGTATTTTATCATTAAATAACTCAATGTTGTAATAATGAAAGATAGATCTAAGATATAATGTTAAGACAAAATATGTTAGAAAATAATGTCTTTAATAAATATAAATTATAGCCATAAATATAAATACATTTGAACATTATATAATAATGTTAAAATATGTTGGTATGTGCATGGTTGACATAAAATGCAGCAAACTGATAGTATTTCTTTCTTGAATGGGCTCATAGTCATAGACATTCATTTCTTATATCCTTTTATGTTATATATGGCAAGAGAGGTTTTCTTTTGTTTTTTTTTTTTAAAATAAAACGTAGGGAAAAGGCCAGAAGCATGTAAATCCACATATTAAGAATGATTAACTCCTGGAGTTAGAATTACAGGCAACCTTAATTGTCTTCTACTTAATGTATTGATGAGTAAGAATTATCAATTTAGGCAATGCAAGATGGAATCGTATTAATGGACTAAAATTGAAAAAGTCCCTCATTTGTGATACTTACAAAAACGTCTCATTCCTCATACACATTTTCTTTGTAAATATGATACTATTAGTGTCTTTTTTTGACTTTTGGCTTTCCTTTGCCTCTTCAGTCATTTCCAGAAACATTTAAGATCTCTGATAGCTAATGGTAATGTCAGAGGACATTTTCTGGATCCAAGCCAATCATAATGTCTTTAAGTAATGTTTATATGTACCAAGCTTGCCAGCTACTTACTAGTGCATAACAGAAGATAAATGTACACTGCTATGAAGGCTAGAAGAAGGCAAGCCATCTAACTGCTAGCAACCTAATTTTTACATAGCTGTTTACAATTCTCATCATGTTATCACAATATGATTTATTAATCCTTCTGGCATTTTCCTCCTTGACAGCTTCTCAGCTGCTGTTACATCCTTCTTGGATGGGTGAGTACTCTATACTATTCTGAAACTGTGAGTCAATTTTATATATTGAGACTTTGTTTTAGGCACTTAGTCCACAAAAGTGGAACAACTTGGATTTAACCTTATCAAACATGAAAAATAGGATTTGAGGATTCAAGAAAAGTGAAATGAAGAAAAATGAATTTGGAGATGTGATTGCAATGGAGCCTCTTAAATATTGTTAACTCAGAGTAAGTTAAACTATAACTCACATTACAGTTTTTACAGGTAGGTGTTGGCATTTTACTCCAAATGGAAAATATACTTATAAAACAGCTGCATTCTTTCATGAATATTCAAATGGTTTGATTCAGGAATATTTTTGCTATAATAATTTCAAATTTTACACCTCTTTATCTGTATTTTTACATGTTCAAATTAATTACACATCATCAATAATTAGCTAAAACCCATCAATTCAAGATAGTATTTGTCTCTTTATTATGTATCTATTGCATTTTTGTTAATTACTATCAAATTGGATATGATAATACTCACATATTATGCATATTAAACACAATAAAGCAGAACAAAACTATTTGAAGGCTATGTGTGTGTACAGATCCACTTATTAACAATGACTAACTCTAGGAGGTAGATTATAGGCAATCTTAATTTTCTTACTTCATATATACCCAGATTAATGATTTACTACAGCTAAGCGCTAAACAAGGTTGTGTTGCTAGAATCTATCACCAAAAAAAGAGATTTAAATTCTGCAGTTCCCTTTGTCTAGTAAAAGAAATCAAGCATTTTGTTTAATGTGGACAGACTCATTTCTTCATATCAGTAAATCCAGAAGCAGTTCAGGAATATAAAATACATTAATTAGATTCATGTTGTCAACTTACAAACTTACAAAGAAATTTTATTCAGATGAGTAATTTATAATTTTGGATATTTTCTGATATGCTACTTAAAAATTGACATCCTATCTTAGTTTTGTTTTAAGTTAGTGTCTTAAGTTAATGAAAATTTTGCTTTAGAAAGTAAAGATAATATAGTATCATATTACTTCCTCATGATCTACTTTGACACAGTTTAATATTTTAGAAGGAAGGTACATTTGTATTATGAGATGATCTCAAATTTCAGGTGTTTCAAACCGTCTTTTGTCAAGTGGTAAATGATGTTTCTTTCATGGTTGTTTGAAATTTTGAGATGAACAACTAAATCAGTGTATTAATTGGTATTGATTAGAGAAAAATCCATGTTCTTCAGTTATTGACATTCTTCTGTGAAAGTATTGGGTGATTATGTGTTCTCAACTATTCAGATGTTTTCTATCATATTTATTCTTAGAAGTAAAACAAAGAATTAATTTCTAAACAAGTGGGAAAAATGCAAACATTTTGTATATTTCATACACCTGATGCAACTTAGAATCTGTTTTAACCTTGGAAAGAAGATGGCAGACTTCTTCACCACCTTATTAGAGAGTCATAATGTTTGTCTAAAATATTTTAGACACAAATGTGGCAGTTGCATGGGGGTACACAGGGTAAGAAGGGAGTGCTGGTGATTTTAGTCTCTATGTCTATTCAGTTTCTTGTGGAGTCTGTGATCTGATCTAGTCTAATTCAAAATTGTTGCTACTTATACCCTAATTGTTTAAGTTCCCAGAAATTCAGAGAATTACTAAGTGACCAATAGAGAACCAGTTCAATAATGATTAATTTTAACATAGCTTCTTGTTCATTAAAAAGGGGAAAGAAAAGAAAAATATGATAAATTCTAGACTTTTAAGAGGTAGATTTCTCTGTTTCAATCTCATCTGTATAAGAAAGTTCTTAATAATGTCACAAGATTCAAAAAAGTTGACTATTAGGTCACTAGTCTTCATTAATGACTATCAGAGATCTTTTTAAAGTCAGTGTTTATTTCTAAATTTTCAGTAATTTAAAAATTATTTATATTAATGTTATTAAAGTGACATTTCACCAAGAGCAACTCTATTTCCCCAATTACCACATTTTCATATTTTCTTTCTGAAATCACATAAATGAATTAACTATTTTGTGACTTGTTACTGCGTGCATGGTGGAAAAGTGTGGGCCATTATTGGTTAATAGTTTGATACACATATATAAGTCTATGTATAAAATTTATGTATAAAATTCCTGCTTAGACACACCTAATAAGGTCTTAGACCAGAGAAAGTGGAGGCCTCAAAAAATAGCTCTGTAAGTGATAGTAACATTTTTAAAGTATTGGATTACCTGTTTTTGAAACACTTATTAATAAGGACTAATTTCAGAATAGTATTATGGTATCTATAATTCTGTCAAAATTCAACTACATAAAGCTTCCAATTTGGGGACGCTCAGCAGTGTCGAAGAGGCCCTAAAGTCTGTTGCATTTCACACTTCATACATCATGAATTCACAATTTTAAAAGAATGATTACCTGTTATGTGCTAATTTTCCATTAACCATTTTCAATTGTATTTAATGTCAAAGTATATTTTTAATCATAATGGAAATATTTCATATTTATAAAAATCATATGTATGGTGAAAAATCTATGAAATTTTATTTTTATTGAGGCTGAATTTTTTCAGCATGTTACAAATATCAGATTTACAATGCATGTGTATTGTGTAGCACGAGTACACATCCAGATAAGGGAAAAATTTATGTATACTTACATAGAAGCTTCACTTCCTTAAAACCCCAAAGCTCTTTGACTCTCTTTTGCTTTCCTCTTTAATTTTTGTCTAAACCATTTAAGCCATACACATATACAATTCACAAACATGCAATTTCAGAAATATTTTCAGAGATACAAAGTTTAATTGCGTATTTTTTACATACCAATAAACTATATTGTAGTTGTTAATATTTTATTTTTCAAACCTCTAGATAATTTAAAAAGATTGTAATAGTATTTTTAAGTATTTAATTCTGAATTTCTAAAAAAATTCATTGATAAACCTGGCAACATTAGTTTTTTGATATTCTTAAAATTCAAAGAATAGTAAGATCTAATTTTCTTGGTCAATTGTTATATATATTACTGAATAAACATTGTGTGATGGGATTATCAAGTGTCTAAAATTGTTGTATAAACTTGGAACATGAATTCACCCTCACTGCAGTATATATGTCTCCATATTCTTCTCAAGAGGCAGGAAGACCTGCTTATTATAAGTATATATAGGAGTATGATGGAAACATGTTTTCTGTGTGAAAACCATATCTCTTCCACTAAAATAAGCCAGTTGATTCCTTGTATATTAATTGGTGGGGACCCAGATCCCACCCCACCAGAATAAGAGACATATGATTCAGGTCTCATATACAATTAAAGTTCACTTATCAGGATAAGGAAGATCCAGACCAAGGAAGGCATCTCCCTGACCAGCAGACACTCATCTTTGCAGGCACACAGCTGGAAGATGGATGTCCTCTTTCTGATTAAAACATCTAGAAAGAGTCAACTTTGTACCTGGTCCTGTCTGAGGGGAGGTTGTTAGTTCTTCCATCTTGCATTCATAGTGTGCAATGATGGTATTACTCTGCACTCTAGCCAGCTACCCCAATTTAAGTTTAGAAATTACCAGTTTCGATAATAGCTGAACTTGTTCAAAATGTTAATAAAAGTTTTGTTGTATGGTAAAAAAAGAAAAAAGAACAAAACCGAAAACTTGTCTGTTGTTCAGACAAGTTGGTTCAGGAGTGTGTGAATAACCTAAATCAGGTCACTGCTTTTGTCCCTCTTTGCCACTCAGTGAACAGAGTAAAGCAAAGCTAAGAAATGAATAGAAACAGAGTCCCTATATAATGGTGTGTGACTTCAGATCTTTTCAGTAACATCTGCCAATATATTCACTTTTTTGAAAAATGCATTATTATTTTGAGATTGATTCTTGATAAATCCACTAAAAATGTTAACTTAGTGTGATACAATATTTCAGGACTTCCAGGTCATTCTCTGAGGTAGCCTTGATAATACTATGTTGGCTGAATCCAAATATTGTGTAACCAAGATCTAGTCTTTCCATAAAGTTTGTTAAATTAGGGGAAATGAGGTATTTAGATACATATTTTTACAAGCATGTAAAATATCTCTGTGTGTGTCCATGTGTTTAACATTTCAGGAGATAAGTTAATTCCTAGGAAAAGACCCTATAACAATTATAACCCTATAATTGGAAGTTTTCAATTTTTGTTGCCATGTGGAGAATAGACCTCAACTTCTGACATTTAACCATTGTAAGGCCCCAGTCTGTTTTTCATTATCTTTTAGGATCTTCAGAACAGCTGCATATATGACCTGCAGCAATGCTAGTTTCCCCTCTCATTCTATAGCCTGCTTGTCTCCTGCTATGCATAGCTAACAATGCCCTCCCTCCTGCTGTCATCCTCATTTCTCTAGTTCTTGAGATCACTGATGGGAGAAGAGAACCATTACTAAAGACGTCTACAGAGTGCTAAAGTGCTGATCCATCCATAAGATTCTTCTGTTTACTGTCCTTGTTATTTATGTTGATATTTGCTTAACCTAGGATGTATGCTTTTAATATATGGGGTGATTTAGAAAGACCATGGAAGTCAGTTTTATCCACAGTTCTTGCTGTCATTGAATGACATGAGATTAATAATATCTGAGCTAATGTTTCCACATTAAATACTATAACATCTTTCAATCTACTCTTTTAAAATACACAATAGAAGATGCCACTGAAGCATGGTATGCTGCATATTACCAGTAGGATGAATTTGCACAACTGAGGATATAGTTTGAATGCTCTAGAAAGCCCCATTATTTTTGGATCAATTTTACGTTATCAAATACCATGTAGTCACTTTAAGAAAAAACAATCCCAATTTGGTGAAATTTAAATGACTCATCCCATATAATAATCAAATGCTGAACCTAATGTAAAGTTAAGTTCACAGGTCTTCAGATTGAGAGAAATAGTACTAAAGGAGCTGTACTGAAAGAACAGCATTCAAAGAGCCTCATCCGTACTTGAACCT